CCACCCTTATCGCTTCTGCTCTTCGCAACACATGCATCACAGACTCTTTTGGGCAGAAAAGTTTGTTTTTTCACTCAACTTTTTTAAAAATTGTGTTTCATTTACTACAAACTTCGGGATACTGCGAACGGATGCCGCACATGCTCAGGTTCGTTATAAGCGGGCTCGACTGTACTATGTAGTAAAATGAAATACAGTAAAACCTCGTTATAACAACGTCGCTTCCTTCGAATCATCGCTTTTATTAAGATGTCACGCAGTCCTTACCACCATGCGTGTATTTTAGACTGGATTACTCAAAGCATGTCGATAGCTGCTCCGCTTAGAGCGAAGTAACAAGTTGTGGATCCGTATTCATGGCAGCGCTATGAGCGGGCGTGCCACTGCTCATGCCGCCGAAGTGCCCGTGCACTTTTTTCACCCATGTCTCGCGCCGAGCTTTTTCTGCACAGAGCGAGCAATGTTTGTGCTAGCATCGCCAGGCTAAATCACGTCAGTGCAGATCAAGTGAGTGTCTCCGTGGCACAGATTTCACCCTCCCTCCCGCCGGAGGCGCTCGCTCCTTGTAATCATGTCGGCTGCTCTCTGCTCCGCCACTGGCTATGCCGGTGGTGACACGTGACCAGTACGAAGCCTTGGCATGCTCCCTGGGTTTTTTCCATCCGGGCTTGGTAGACACACTTGCAAGTGTGTTGTGCAAGGTCTGCATGAACGCAGGAAGTTGTGCGTGCACATCGTGAGTGCTTTTACAGTTGACTCCTCTTAAACAGAACTCAAAGGGGATCCATAAAACTGTTCCATTTATCAGAAGTTTCATTTAAGCAAAGTACACTTATTTCGTGAACCAATACCTTTATTCAAGTTGCACAAACGTCACCTTACTCATGAGAATGAGTAAGAGAAAAAAAAAAGGAGTGAAGAGTGGTTTGTTTGGCAAACTTTGAGTTGTTTTTTCACAATGTACGCACCCATCCCTGACAAACTAGCTAGAAATTCCGGACAAACCTCATGCTCAAAATAGCACTGCAAAAGTTCAACAGCCTCTTTAGCTTATCGGTCTTGTGGCACCACAGCACTGGCAGTATTGTCATCACATTCATCGCTGGATGGTTGATCCTCATCTTGCACTTCGGCAATCATTTCCTCGACAGTCTCTTCACGACAGGTATGAACATCTTCATCAATTCCTTCGTAGTCCTGCAGCGTGAAAGGGACAAAGGGCACGACCTGACTGAATACTGTCTCAATGTCGGCATAGTAGGGCTTTCTTTCTTCTCCATCAAGTACTGCTTTCTTGCGCTTGAAAGCCAGCATGGTGAAAGCATCTGTGTATAGTTGTTTCCTTTACTTGCTCCCAGGCACAAGCCAAAATGTGGATGGCTGCCAATAAATCTATGCTGTATAATTTTCCGCTGCCTGCTCTAAGCAGCATTTCATAGAGCGATTGTTTGCAGTAATGAAATTCACTGTTCTGAATAACCCCTTGATCCATCTGCTGGATCATTGCTGTTGCATTGGCTGATAAGAACTTCAGAGTTATGGCGTGGAGTCTTTCAACCTGAACATGGGCTGGGCAATCATCCACGATGAAGACAACCTTCCTGCCTTGCCTCGTAAATCTTGCGTCTTCCTCCCGGAGCCAGTTTTCGAAAATGGCCATGGTGATCCAGGCTCTTCCGTTCCCATGGTACGCAACGGGAAGGTGTCGAATGCTTTTGAAACAATGTGGGTGCCTTGATTTTCCTATTACCAACAGCTTTAATTTCTCATCTCCTGCCATGTTTGCACCCACCAGCACAGTGATGCGATCTTTACTGCGTTTTCTTCCACTACAGGCTTCGCCTTTGAAGGTGAGAGCCTTTGATGGAAGTGCCTTATAAAAAAGAACCATCTCGTCGACGGTGAAGACGTCTCGTGGCTCAAAGCTCATCAAAATTTTCTTAAGCCACCCCTATTGCCAGTCGATACAAATGTCCCTGTTGACTGCACTATTCTCACCAGAGATTGCTTTGAAGACTAGGCCATGGCGTGTTTTGAAGCGGTTGAGCGATCCATCGCTTAAGACAAAGTTCTTAAGACCTATTTGTATGGCGATCTCTCGAGCTTTCTGCTCGAGAATCGGTCCCTTATGGGCAAATTGGTACTCCGTGTACGCTTGAACCACAGAAAAAGAACTTTTCCTTGTTGTTCATAAGGCGTCGTTTGCATCCGCTACCATTTAGATGCAAAGGTCCCATTCTTAACAGTGCCTTCAATCATTTCTCTGTCTTTCCAGATCCGCGACAGCGTCGATATAGGGATGTATTTTTTCGCCATCTTCATTTTGGGGAGGCCGCTTTGATCAAGCTCCTGAAGAGCTGGCAGCTTTTTAAAAAGCGAGAGTGCATGGTGCGGCCCCTTCCTTTCCATCGGGCTGAAATAACACCGTGATCCACCACACTTAACCGCACAAATAGGCTTAACTCACAATTGACTCGCCGACTCGGCTTGCACAGCCATAAGTGAGAATGGCTACTGGATTGGCTTGTCTTGATCTCGAGGTGTTGCCATGGTTGTGAGACTACCTTCGGCATAGCGAGTCTAGGCTGTGTTTAGAGTTTGTGCCGTTTAACCGTAGGTGACCCATAAGCACAGTTTCGATTAACCGATGAATTTTACTGCACAACACACAGAAATCCAGCCATATGAGCCCGTTTAGTTGCGTTAATGAGGCATTTTCGTTTAAGTGAGTTTTGTTTATTGGGAGTCCGTTGTAGTTGCCGTCAAGTGAACATGGCTCCGCCGGTGCCCACACAGAAGTGTCCGACATTGGAGCAGTAAGTTCCACTGATACGTGAGGTGGAAAAAGAAGGCCGGCAGAAGCCTTAAATTGTAAGACAATTTGGAATATCGCCGTGAACATCACCAACTATTCTGAAGAATAAGGACGCCATTCATTTTGAAATATTTGCGCAGGCACACAGAGCCACAGAAGAGGCACATAAACAGGCACAATCCAACAACTGGGTTTGTTTTCAAAAACGTTCACTTAATAACCCTCAGATATGCACAATCTGGTCACAAAAAGACATTTGAACTGCGCACATGGCACAACTTATGATGAGATGCTCACTGACTAACAGACAAAAGTGAAATTTCCTTCTCAAGCAAGGCAACCGAAGGCTGACTAACACACTTTTCTTTCAGCTTGCAAATGAGATAGACCTCTATCATTTCTCTCGAAGTTTGGTGTCGATGCCTATATTCCGAGGTAAGGTTGTTAAAATAAAGCTAACATGTGCACTCATTGCAATGCAGTGTTAAGTGAGCTTGCATTAGGGCGACCCTTCAGACTCGACATATCCTCCCTTAGACTTGTGTTACGGTAATATACATCCGTCCGTCTGCCCTACATACACACGACCACATGTCAGCGGTACACTACACACCACATTATTTGCACATTTACAAACTGGATCTTGTATTTAATGCTACATTCCATTTGAACACTGCTCAGTTTGTTTCATTCCAGGTTAACTAACGGGCACACTCCTCCAGTTTTGTTTTCTGCCAAAAACACGACCTTTACATTGTAACTTCCAGCTACTTTTTTTATTCAGTGCGATGGCCCGTGTACATAAGGATGCAGGGTACCCATTGTCTGTGTCTGTAGGTATCAGGCTATTAAAAAGCTTGAAACAGGGAACGGAACTATTTTGGAAAACGAGTGGGCAGACTGATTCTAGCTCGAAGGTGGTAGCAATCCCTTATGTCATCATCAGTGTGCCTTACGGCACACTGATAATGACTGTGAGGACTGTGATGATATCTGCGAAGCTGTGAACAGCATCACTGGCAGAGATATGGAAGAAACTTCGTTTCCCCATCTACTGATGCCAAAATACTGTAGACTCTTAATAAACAAAAATCTGTTGAACGAAACTACTGCCTTTGCAATGCTTGGTTTTGGGCTTGTATTCTGCACCTATGTTCACCTCTCAGTAAACGGAACTTCTGTTAAATGAAACATATTTTCCCGGTCCTTTCAGGTTCCATTTACCGAGAGTCTACTGAAGTCAGCTTGCTTGGAAGCCTCAATGAAGATGATGAGCAGCTATACAAACAGTCTCGCGATATACAAACAGTGGCACAAACGCAGGACAGCCTTTGTTTGTAGCGAAATAGAGTGGAGTGCATGGGTGGTGACCACGACGTTATAATTTGCCCTGAACAAACTGGAGCAGGTCCTCCTCAAGCCAAGCCAAAGCACCGAACAAAGCTACTCGACTGACTTTTTTTTGTGTGTAAATGAAAGTTTGTTTCACTGAATACCACTTCTGCGAAGTTGTCATGGCTAATTTAGCTGTACTTGCTGAGCTTTTATGGGGAAGTCACAAATATCAAATTATTGCTTATAAGAAATTGTTTTGCTGTCCCATTGATTTCGTCATCACGATGGTTTACTGTAGTGTACACATAGCATGTTGTGCTATGCACAGATGCGTGTTATACACAATGTCAGATAGCAAATACTCTAGTGTTTTAGAGAGTGTTCTATGCATGACTCTCTTTAGAGGTTTAGCGCGGACTAAAAATGTGAACCTCTCGCAACTGCACAATGGCCTTCCAAAAAAAATCACAGCATATCCACGAAATGAATCCACGGGCAAAGCATCCGTGAATTCGTCTGTGCTTCCGTGCCTTGTCCATCGAATGCCGCCGAGCCTCTGAATGCACACGCACCAAAAACGGCGCATTTATTGTACTTTAGAGCGGCCCTTGGCGTACGGTGCTGCCGAAGAACACGCGATCGAAGTCGCACGATCGTCTCTCCATCCGTACGTGTGACATCACTACCGTCCTCTATGACCGGTTCAAGAACTAATGAGAAGCTGTTACGCACAACGTCAACGAGAGACGCATGAGCCACGCCATAAGGAGCTTCGCCCCTAAAAGTTTTATGCATATGTGGCGAGGCAAAACATGCACTAGACAGCATGGAGGCAGAACAGCAAAGGCACCTCTGCGTGCGAGCCGTGTGTCAGGGTCAGTATCCACGAAGAGCTTCATGTGGAACATGTCGCGCAGGTGCGGGAAGTAGAACAGCAGCACTCCTTCCACCAGGACCACGTCCGCAGGCGCAATGCTGATCCACTGATCCCTGAGCCTATAATATTTCAATATTTAAATAAATATTTATTTCAATAAATAAACACAAAGTAGACATAAATAGATTCAGAAATCCCGAAGTGAAAACTGTTGGGGAGACCTCTAAACAGAAAATAAATAGGGGTTATACTAATCTCGGCAAACAGTGAGTTAAGTAAATTAAACAAGGTGAAGTGTGTCAATATCAATGGGAACAAATAATTTTTAAAATGTCTATATGATAATCACAATTATAGACAGATTGAAGAAGCAAAATATAATAATTTGCACATAAATCCAGACAAGGATTATTCTCACTTGCAGCTAGCAACGCAAAAAGGCAGCAAACATAGACAAAATTCATACTAGGCAAAGTTAAAACACTTAACAATTGGCAAAAGTAAATTTGGAAATGTTCGGTAGGGAAAAGAATGGGATATATTCTATGCGTGCGACAGAGTGTTAATAAAATGATCCTTAGTTTTTCATTTGAATGATAAAAATGAAGATGACTTGATATCCAATAGTAATGAGTTCCAGAGTGAAATGCCTGAAAATAGAATGGTAAATCTCCCATAATTAGTTCTAACTTTAGGAACAAGTAGATTAAGTTTTTAAGATTAAATCGACAGAGGGAAGTGGTCACATCTGTCACAGCAACGAAACGCTCCTCAGTGGAAGGGGCACCAAAACAGAAAAACGTCTACCCACGCAGCCTACCAAACCTCCCTTCACAACAGTTTACAGAGGACTTTTTACAGTACCAAAACTAGTTCCAATTATAAGACATCATCTACCTCCTTCAAAATTTCTGTTTTCTTTCCATCAGCAATAAAATTATTAGACACGCCCTTTGCCTCGTGGTGATCTGCTTATTGTCAAAGTGTCATAATGCAGTTTTGTTTTTTTAGTGCATCATAATTACTGAGTAATTATGATGCATGATTGATGCAGCAATTACCAAGATTTTACATGCCAAAACCATCATATGATTATGAGCGCCGTCACAATAGAGGGCTCTAGAAGTTTTGACCACCTGGTGTTTCTCCTTAATAAGGGCAGATACTACTAAAAAAACTGTTTCTTTAATCTATCGCTTAGGGCAATGAAATTTTCGCTGTTTACGTAGGTTTTTATGATGATTTCAAATACCTAAAAAGTTTTAGAGACACTTGCGTACTTTCGATTTTGTACCATGACACTGCGTAAAAGTAGCTCTTTTTTGGCACACTTTTTCTGCCATCAAGATTTTATGTATATGAACCATAATGGATCGTATTGACTGTAGAACGTAAATAACTACCAGAAAGTGTGTGCAGGATACTTTTAGGCTTGTGCAAATATTCAAATGCTTCGAAAATTCGAACAAATAGTAGAGTAGTCGAATTCGCTTCAATTCAAATTTAAATTATTGAAAATTTTGAAGTATTCGCAATGAACGAATAAGTGTATATTAGTCCGCATTAACCCCCTGTAAAGATGGTTTCACTGCAGTGTAAGGGTGCTAAGCCGTGAAAGCATCTATTCAAAAGTAATTCGCTCTGTCACGAAGCCCCCCCTCAAGTTTAAAGGGGACCTGCAACGCTTATTGAGCATGGACAAAAAACGCTGCCGATCGGTAGTCGAGACTACCGAGAACACGCAAACCAAATAAATTCTCAAAGTTAGCTAAAAATTGCTCTCTTCTGTTGGCAAAAGATGCTACAAGATCAAAAATCACTCGTCACAGCCACTGTACCTGTTACTGGCCTACTTTGACATGGCGTGCTCGGTCGTTACTGGGGCTACGGCGGGATGCCGCCACTTTTAGCGATTTCAGCGTGCAACAAGTCTTTACAACTCCAAAAACTTAATTTGAGCACAAACACATGACACACTCACACACACAAAACACATCCAGGCATCAAACATGAATCAAACATAAAAATAAAATAAGGACCATTGTGTGTACCCCTTCACTATCTTTGTTCCCAAGTGAATTCCAGTTTATCAGTTCTAGGCAGTGAGAGAGAAAAATTGTGTGTGTTGACAGTGTGTGCAGTTGGCCTTCTGTGATGTCAATGCGCACATGTGCCGCATGTTACCCTCAAATCAATTCATCATGTTGTTACCACATATGTAATTTAGGTATGTGCATCTGTGTAGCGGGGAACAGGGTGGTAACAGAAGAAAAGGACGTTCGGATTTTGGCAAGAGGTCTCCGGTGCGCGCTCACTGCATACCTTCGAGTCGACCATTATGTCGTCTCTGAATAAACCCCTCTCGTAGACGTAACAGAGTGATGGAGGTGGGTACAGCACGTCGACGTACCACGGAGCCACAGTTGTTCTGAGTTCGCCGGAGCTATCGTCTTGCCGGTCTGCCACCGACAACAGTCGTCATGGCCCAGAGCGAAGGTCAGGAATCAACTGCCTCAACTACGTGCAGGTCTACGCTGGCTACACCTAGGCATCACTACATGGAACCCCGCCTGTTCGCGGGAATGGCACGAGAAGATGTGGACACGTGGCTAACGCATTACAAAAGGGTGAGCCGGTACAACCATTGGAACTCTATCCATCAACTGGATAACGTCGCGCTGTTTCTCACGGACACCGCCCTGATGCGGTATGAAAACCATGAAAAGTCCTTGACAACATGGGCTCTTTTTGCTCAAGAACTGAAGAAGTGTTTTGGTGACTCCGACTCAAAAAAAGAAAAGCACGGAGCGGACTCTTGCTGAAATAGCTCGGACTCCAGGAGAAACGAGCACTGCTTATATAGAGGACGTTCTTAAGCTTTGCAAGATTATAAGCCCGCAGAGCTTGGAAGAAGACAGGATCAGACACCTCTTGAAAGGCATAGTGAAAGACGTTTAATGCGCATCTGCCAAAGCCTGCACCATGTGCAAAAGCTGGTGAAGGAATCCTGAAGTAAGGCATGATCGCTAGGAGAAGAAATTACTTGATATAAGACGCAGTCGTCGGCATAAAGACGGACCTGAGACTTCAAATTGTTTGGAAGGTCATTTATAAATATTAAAAATAATAAAGGTCCTAGAACGGATCTCTGTGGAACACCCGAAGTTACATCGACAGTTGAGGACGAAGTGGAGTGGAATGACAGTTTGATATCGAGATTTATTAAAGCTAGCTATCCAGTTGGTTAATCGAGGATTGTTTAAAATAGCATCAATTTTACTTAGCAGCTTATTGTGTATAATGGTGTCGAAGGCCTTGGAAAAGTCTATGAATAACGTGTCAATCTGATTGCCAATGTCAAGAATGCTGGATATGTCATGCGCAAATTCGACCAGTTGTGTTAGTGTGCTGAAACCATGATGAAGGCCATGTTGAATGTTCGAGAGTAGGTTATTTGACTCAAGATATTCTGTTATATGATTGTGAATGACATGCTCAAGCAGTTTACCGGAATTTGAAGTAAGTGATATCGGTCTGTAGTTGGACAGGAGTTGCTTGTTACTACACTTATGCAAGGGCAAGACTTTGTCTAGTTTCCAGGACTGGGGAACAGTGCTTGAAAATACGGATTTTCGAAAAATGATTGACAAATAACAAGCACACCACAGAGAGTATCGTACGAGAAAGCTGTTTGGAATGTCGTCGGGACCAGTGCACTTTTTTGTGTCTAACTTAAGTATCATGTTAAGGATGCCATTCTCGTTAATCAACACATCATCAATAGCGAGCTCAGGATTAGGGCTTCTGAATACTGGGAGAGAACTGTTGTCATGCGTGAATACAGACTGAAAGTAGACATTGAAAGCTTTAGCTATTTCAAGTGGGTCTGAAATAGCCTTACCGTCTAGCATAAACGATATGGTATCAGTTTTAGTTGGTGATATGGAAGTCCAAAATTTGCGTGGGTTGGATTGAAGTAATCTTGGAAGCTCAACTTGAAAATAAATGTCTTTAGCTTTTTGCAATTCGGTACGTAGTTGCAGCACGGTATTATTAAATCGAACGATACTGTCAGGATCTTGCGTCTTTTTTTGGCGCCGCAAACGAGGAACGCGACATGATGTATGCAGTAGAGTGCGATTCATCCAAGAGACTTTGGGATTTCTTTTTTTAGACTTGAGGGGGACAAAGTTATTAATGCATAGTTCAACGATGCACTCAAATTCTTCAGCCAGTTTATCAACGTTTTCGTCTTCGCGAACACCAAGCGATTGAAAAAAATCAAAATTAAATGCAAGGGTGTCCGTTATTGACGCGTCATCAGCATGAGAAAAGTCAGGGAAATGAGTAATATTGGGCTGTACTTTAGTCATTGGAGAGGGGATTGAAACGAACACAGCTTTGTGGTCAGAAATGCCATCGATTACTTCGTAATGAAAACCAGTTTCAACTAGATGAGAACTTAAGAAGCCCAGATCAAGGACAGATGTGTTTCGGGTAGGTGTTTGCACGATTTGAATAAGACCAAGGAATAACGAAAGAGATAAAAGTTCCCTACAAATGGCCAGATCATGGCCGGTGTAACACAGAGTTCGCCAATCAATACCCGGAGCATTGAAATCCCCCATGAACACAATCTCCGAGGTGCCGAAGTCCTGTTCGTGCATGAACAAGCTAAGCTTTTCTAAAGTTTTTATTGGAGAACCAGGTGCTCTATAGCACACACAACAATCATAGACAGCCCTTTTAAACATAGCTTACACCAAGTAACTTCGACATTAGGCGTATCAGGGAGCACAGAAAATTTTATGTCCGAACGAAGAAGAGCGACACCACCCCCTTTACCACAAGATCGATCATTCTGTATTGCTACATAGCCTGGGGGTGTAAATTCGGAATCCTACACGTCGCTGTGTAACCAAGTCTCTGTTATCGCAATTACATGGGGTGAATATGATGATACAAGAGCGAGTAAAGGTATAAACTTGTTCACAATGCTTCTTGCATTCAAACACAAAAAACTTATACTGCTGTTACATGGCTGCAGTCAACGAGAACTTGCTCCGGCCGTAGAAGTAGAAGTGTTTTTAGCAACTTTGTTGGTAACGCGCTTTAGCGT